TTTTTTTATTCATAAAATGAGAATGTACTGACGTTTGAGGAAACCATTTGGTCATTCTTGAAATATATTTCCATTAACCTCTGATTTAGACTGGATGGGTACTGTAAAACAATGTTGATTTTACTGAAAATTTGAGTTGGTCAGCATTCCCTTAGCAAATACAAAATTTACTAGAAAGTGACCGCTTGTTGACAGAGTTTCCAGTCAGTCACTCTTTTCTTATTTTTCATTATGCTACATTAGAAACTTTTTTCCTCAAAAGTGATGCTGTCAAATATTTGTCTATTTAGGAGCTTGGTTTTATAATTACATACTTGTTAGAACTGGGCCCCCTGGTGGTCTAATGGTTAGGATGCGGCGCTCTCACTGTCGCGGCCCGGGTTTGATTCCTGGTCAGGGAACTCCTCCGGGCAGATGGAGCTCGTCAGCCCTGTAAGGCCATCCATCTAAGAGAAGGTCACTCTAAACAAACCTACGTCCTGAGGACCTCGCTGCCACCGTCCGAGCTCGCTCAGCCCCAGCAGATGAACCTTAGGATCAAAGGGTGGGCTCAGTTCAGCTCACACTGTGTCTCACCTAAAAAATTCACTGTGCAGGCTCGAAGGGTAATGACCTTTCCCAAATCTTCGTTCGCGAAGACTGGTCATGATGATGATGACTTGTTAGAACTGCAGTGTTAAAATATGGAAGACAGCTTTAGAGAAACCTCCTCCTGTTTGTAGGCATAGTGAGCACAGAAGTATTTTTTTTATTTCTGTGGACAGCAGTGGCTGCATTTAGTATGTTGTTTAGTACCACATGCCTTCCTCTTAGTTCTAGATGGAGTATCCTTTCTTACCACCAGAAAGCCAAGGCAGCAAATAAAATAAATCAACAACAACAAAAAAGAGCCAGGGTAATTGCCCATTAAGCAACATCTCCAGGATTGTGTGTTTCTAGAAATGTGTAAATCAAGCTCAGACATTTTCTAACAGGCATTCTCCACTTCAAATATTTTCTAGTAGTTTGTGTGAGTCCCGTGTTCTATGTTACCCAAGACATCAGCTTACACTTCCTCTATGGCTCCTAGCCCATGAATTGGAATTTGCTTGCCAAGAATTCAGTCTGCACATGTACGTGCCTGTACTAGCAGCTACCTACAAGGAAGCAAAGGGGCACTGGGACTATTTGCTGAGATGACGTGTTGGTCAGTGGTAGGTACATCAAGAAAAATGTATGCTCTCTGTCTACCTGCTCTGGAAAATTCATGGCAGCTTTGGCTACATTTGCTTCCCTGAGGAGGGGACAGGCCATGGGGAATTTTTCCTGGAAATGGCTAGATGGCAGATTTGATTCTATTCTATCTTCCATCCTCCCTAACTAAGTGGTCACAGCCCAGCAGCTGGTGGTGCTGCAGTTCCTACTGCCTGTGCTTCCATTTGAAGGCAAAACTAGCCAGGCTTTAGCAGATCCTGTTGTTTATTTCAATCTGCCCCTTATGCTTCTCTGAAAAATCTGCATGTAAAAGAGGAGAAATATCAACTTTCAACTTTGTATTGAAACATAGAAAAGACACCTTACTAGCAAAAAAAGTTATATCCTTGCTGCATAGGAAAGGTTTTCCAAGAAATGGGAGAGGCAGAAGTTGCAAGAAAAAATTTACAAGAAGCAAAACTGTTAGAATATGATGGATTGAGAAGATTTGGACAGAATACTTTTCTGCTAAGATGGCTATCTTCTAGAAGTGTTAATTTTATGACTTCCTAAACAGCAGAAGTGTATAAACTCTCATATTTCCAGTTTGATTAAAGTTTGTATCGATATGTCAGTATTTTATATAGCACTATGTTGTATAATTATTTGTTGCAACATACGTTTAAATGTGGTATCATCATGGGACTTTTTTTTAGTCATTAATCATAGTGGTGCTTCTAAATTAATTTTAATTGTTTTAATTTTGTCAGAAATTTCAGCATTTCGGTCTTCCATTCTAAACCAAAGAGAAGTTTTCCCCAGTTAGAGATGCTTGTCTTATTACAGAGAGTGTGCAGGTGTTGATGACACTTTGTCCATTGCTTACATAACTATCTGAGCTGAATGGAAGCAAATACTAGTTGCCATGAACATACCCTCTTTCTTTTCGTCTAATTTTTATTTGCACTGTCAAAGTATTGTCTCTATTCTGTAGGTCCTTTGAAATATAAAAGGAATAAAAGTTACTCGCCTATACTGAGAAAGTAGTATCAGTCTTCTGCATGTGAAAATTCCAGGCTCACAGACTTCATCACTAGAAATATGACTTGTGGCTGCTGAAATGACCTAAGAATTGTAGAGAATTTATTCAAAGCTAAATTTATTTTCCTTTTCTTGTTTTATATTGCTGTTTTTAAGGGCATTTGAATAAATTAAATAAACGTGCATGAACCACTAAGACAAGAAAATAGAAATACTCTAAGTGCAATTTAGAATTGCACTTATCTATTTCATGACTGGTCAGTAAGACTCCGATTCTGTCCAGTAAGAGAGCAGCAGCTTGGAATTTGATCCAGGGCCATCTGATCTGTTGTTTTGCAAAGAGGAAGTATGATGAAGGGCCAGGGACCTGGAACATAGCAGTTTCCTTTAACATATTAGTTCTGGTTCTTGTGATAGCATTGTAAAGAAGACAGGTAAGAGAACTTCCTCCCTGCTTTCAGATTTTGTAGTAAATATGCATTCTATTCCAGGTGGTTTCCATGTAATGTAGGAGAAGCTTGGAGAATTAATTTCAACCAAAAGCTTTGACACTTTCTGCATTTTGAACTTGATGACATAAATACGTTAATTCTGATTAGCAGATCATCAGATCCAGCCAGGAGGTCCTTGTAACCCTTGTTTCCATCTCATGTAATGCTCAATCTTATATAAATAATTTTTTTTAACTTATTTAACTCTGAAAAGTTTGTATTGAGAAATCATAGTAAGAAAATAATTTTTAAAATTAAATTAAAAACTGACGAGCATGAAAATGCATATTACTGCTAGGAAACACATTTCAAAGTACTTGGTGAGGCAAAATTGACAAGGACTGATCTCATAAAAGATAGTGTCCAAAATCCATATTGCACACCCATCTGATCTGTAACAAGAGTGGTTATCTTAAAATTCGCTCTGAAAAACAGAATTAGTGTTACTTAAGGTTGGTATTAATATATTCTGGAATAGCAGCATATATATGAGGCTTGCTAATTTATAACCATACCCTCTGAACTTTCTGGGTGGACTAGCTCTGTGTGTGTGTACATGTACATACACTGCTACCCACTTACAGACACTGGTGGGCAAGATCAGTAGCTCTATTACCTGACTGTGCATTCTGTGGCATAAATGTGCAGTGGTAGTAATTGCATCAATTAGTGCTATGGAAGACATCTAACAGAAGAAATACAGACACATTTTGTTGAGATTATTAAATGGTTTGGAAAGGTTAATAAACCTTGAGCCAGAAAATGTTCTAGACTGATTTTTTTCCCATGGTTTTATAATACAGTATTTCAAAGTGCGTTTGTCTCCAGAAAAGCAATTATCTGAAAAAATACTTCCTCCTTGCCATCAGACTTACCCTTTCTGTTCAAAGTCAGTTCTGTGTGATTAAAATAATCTTCCTTTAATGCAGAGAAAAGCTAATTAGTTAACTTGTAGCTTCTATTATCCATAATAAATTAGATAGCTTACTAAGTTGCAATTAGTTGCAATTTTCAAGACCTACTGAAAGTAACACAATTGCCTAACTGCTTGGAAGAGTTTCTCTGAAACATTTTATATAGATTCCTCACTTAAGAATCAAACAAAGATTTTTGCTTGTAACATCGTACATCTAATATCCAAATTACAGGAACTAAGGTCAAAGTGAGCAATCTCTGAGCCAGAATTTTCCACAGTTTTACCTGAAGAAGGTAAAGTGCTGTATTTTTGTTAGATTCTAATGGAATCAAAACCAGCTTGCATTATTTGTAAAAACAATAATTGTATAATAAATTTCACACTTCAGAAAGTCTATAACAGTATGTAATTTAGTCTGAGTGAAATTATTTCATACTTTTTCATAGACCCATATCAAAGCCTGGACCCGTCTGATTTTGTAGCAGTGGCATAAACAGTATTTTAGACTTGCTAGAGCTATCGGTCCATTTTCTAAAATATATAATTAATTTTCTAGCAGCAGTGATTTTACCTTTCAGTTCTGGTCATCTACCTACTGTAATTGCAACCTTTTTCAGAACAAAGTCATCTCATATTATTGGTAGATTTTTGCTGTTAAGCAGTACACAGAATTTCATTCCGGAGAGACAACTCCCCAAGATTTAAGTTTTTATCTTCCCAGTTATTTCCTATGTACGGAAGGGATTCTGGAAGCTTCTGTTTAAAATTCAAGTTTCCAAATACAGGACAGGTAAATTTATATTGGATTAAGCTGTAAGACTTTTAAAATTTTTTTAATTTGGTCAGTGAGCTAATTTGGCAAACTGACTCTTCCACTTTAACTGACTCAGAACTGGCTTGTGTATTTTCTATTGAGATTGAGAATTTGGACTTTTGTTTTCTAGAGGTGTCAACTAATAGGTGACTGTCTGTTTTTAGGAGTAAAAAATTCTTTTTTGCTTTTTATTTTATTTCTCAGAAAACAGAAATCCACCAATTCTAATTATATGCCTAAAACAAACAAAGCTGTTATTGTTGTTGTTTTTCTGTGCATCACTATTGTATGTCACAGCCTGTGGATAATTAGGTAAAGAAAACTCTCTGACTCATGAAGAGGAGGTTATGATGACTTTTCATAGTATGATGGAGTATTAGTTGTTTGGCTGTTACGATCAGAAAAGGAAGCATTTCTTAGAAACAATCATCCTGAATGTATAACTGTTCTGACTATGTAAATACTACTGCCAATTTTAACGGTATTCCTTACACTGTCATTGAGATGTTGTGCTGCAGAAACATTTTCACACTGTGCTTATGTACTGATTTTATTTTATTCCCAGGTCCAGTCTGTGTATGACATTACCCAGTATGAGAATATTTTTCCTTTGTGCATGATTCTGGAAAAACTTCTTCAAAATAAGACAGAAGAAAACGTTTCGAGTTCAGACTATGAAGGAGAAGAAAAAATCAAATTTCTGAAGAACCTTGATCAAATTATTCTTCATCTCTCAGATGAATTCCCTCTATTTTCTTTATATTTATGGAGAGTGAGTGTTCTTTTAAACTCAGCTCAAATGCAAATTGATTAAAACAAGCAGCCTACTTTTTAGTGCATTTTTTGGGGGGGTATGCATTGGAAGGTTTTCGAGCCAGACAGGAAAATTGTTGTTATTGGAAAACATTTACTTTAAACTACTATTCTATACACCAGTTTCAGAGATAATGCAGTTTATTTCCAAACTTAAATATAGAAAAAAAGTAATAATCCAGGTGCCATTTTGAATAAATGCTGTTTCATGTAATGGAAAACAATATGTTGGTGTTTCTGTACACAGTGAAAATGGAACACAGAAAGTTGTTTCAGGTGCTGTTTAAAATAAACACTATGAATTTTAAAGTTGAGTCATAAAATGTGTGTAGAGATTTCAAGTTAGGAAACTATTGCCTGTCCTTTAAGAGTTGTGTAGCTTCTGTATAATTTAGATACAGTGTCTGGTTGGCAGAAATAGAAATGCTTATTTTTAAACTTTGTAGCTCATCATTACAAATACTTATAGGACATACTTTGTTAACAATTTAATCAAAATAGTCATTACCTGAGCAAAATAAAATCTGGGGCTCAGTTTTACAACTTTCTTACACTCGTATACTGTTTGGCTTTACTTGTGTATGCACAAGTGTAGGTACAGTAGGCCTAATTCATTCTGAGTTGAGTAATGATTTCAGAGATCTAATCTGAATAAATATAACTCATTTAGTGGTTACTTTAAACCTCTCTGTTCAAAATTAATGAATATTGATAAAATCCTCTTTGTGTCTTTTCATTTTATCTGATTTTTAATTTTTGTTTTCCTGTGTGATGGTATTATATTCATAGTAATAATTAAAGTAAAAGATTTTAACAGAAATTATCTTAAACATAAAAGGTCTTTATAGTGTGAGTTCAATAATACCTTAACAGAACCAGAGTACTTAATTTATCTAGAGGATAACTATAATGATAAACAACTTTTTTTTCTAGTAGACAAACAACATTTTAGTTGTATTATGTCTCCTAGAAGTGCATATTTCCTGTAAATATAAAAAATTTTGAGAATTAGTCCATATCCTTCCCCTTGCACTTGTTTCATCACATCAATTTTTATGTCAGGAAAATTTGCTGAAACACCGTTATCTTGTTAATTTGAATGCATTTATTTTGTAATAAACCATTGCTTTATAAATTTGTAAAACACATTGATATTTAGAAAGCAGGTGAATTGGCAGGTGAATTACTGTGATGGTGAATTGGCTTCCCAAAGAGTGTTTCTTAGTTTGACACTGGCCACTGTTCTGTTTCTTCATATTTGATATGTCATATGGTAACAGTTATTTAATGCTTTCTTTCAGCAAAGTTTTTTTCCACAGAAATGTTTGATTTGCAAAGCAAGGATTTCTGAATAGTCACATGACAAAATCAGATGAGTTTAGCCAAACTAAAGAAAAGAAATATGTTTTGTAGTTACTCAGGAACTGCCATGCCCTTTTTATTACTACTTTACTTGCTTGTTTGGTTGTTTCATTAAGATAAGAGAATCAGTTCTCCCTCCACAGCACTGAAAACATGGTTACAAAAAGAGCAAGGAGAGAAGTCAACAAAATGAACTGTTACCTAATTGATATAATTTTCATTTTCATTTTTTCAAAAAAGCTTCATTCAAAAGTAGTTTGTAAACAAAAGACACAAAACACAGGAGGATACTGGCATCTGTATAATAGCAAACTGTGTGTGTTTCAAGACTCTGGTTCCAAACAACAGGTTCAGCACTAGATTGCACACTACTGCACATTTGCTGATCGACTGGCAAAAAATATTTTTGTCACTAGTAAAACAACACGAGCACAAAGGGATGCATATTTTCTTCTTTGCAGATTGTAGCATTTTCTCACCAGCAAACTCTCTAGGCCACTGGAAAAGCAATGGATATTTTGGGAAATATATTCATTGCTGGTAAATTTTGAAGTAACTGCTCACTTGAGACATGATTTTTGACATGTTTTTTCACAGCATAGAGAGAGAGGAGGTTTTGTGTCCAGAGATGGCATAACTACACGGCACTTATGCTCTGATGGGAATTTGAAACTGTTATGCAGCTTTGAAAGCATTGAGGCAGTGAGAGTTCCCCTTGTAATGCCATTGCAGCAATCTAGACACACGCTGGCCTCTCTGCAAAAGGGATGTCACCTGGTCACCTGGGCTCTCTTTATCTGTTTCAGTGGAAAATTAAATAATGCAGTGAACCACATTAATGAGCACCTCAGCTTTGGTGGGAGCAATAACCTCTGCAATCAGAATACTCATTAGATTGTCGTCTCGCATTTCTTGAAGAGATTTTTCACCAAGATGGGACTTGCCTTAAGATGAAGGTGTGCAAAGGTAGACACGTGCATTTAGATGTCTCCCTGTGGTTGAGATGTCTAATCTATGAAACACTTGCAAAGTACCCCAATGTTTTGGCCTGGGTATCCAGCTACTACCACAAAGGACTGCAGATCTTCTCTAAGACCTGCATCACATTTTCTCTCTTTATGTAGATGCGTCTGATACCCTGGAGCATCTTTAGTGGCACTGTCACTTACAGTGTGTGCTTAGACAACTGAATTGAGCAGTGGTGGTAGCGTGAGCATGGATATACAGCTCATGAACATCCATTTAGGTGTCTTAATGTGAAAACTAAATCCTACCTTTGTGATACCTTATCTGTTTTTTAGAGTAGGAAATCCTAGGTTTAAATCCCTGCTCTTCAGACAATTTCTGGTCTTGTCTGATGACTGTTAGATGTAACTTGAGTAAACATCACGAGTTTTGTAATAAAACAGGATGACTGAGACAGTCCCTGGAAGATTTACAACCAGGTTACAAGTCTTGGACTTAAACTAAGTCTTTTAGTTTTACATCCACACATCCAACTTTTACCTATCTGACCTCCAGAGAGGAATACCAAATGCAGAGAAAGTATCTGTGATCTTTGCTGAGTGTAGGATGTCTCAAAAGAACAATCTCAAAATCCCATGTGCTGAGCATAACACATCGTAGAACTAAACAGAAAACACTTAAAAAAATAACTCGGTCTGATCTGTCATTGCTCCCTGGAGTGTGTCACCTGAGTTACACTTATAGTTTTAGAATGAACAGTTCAAGGATATTTCTTTTGTCTTGCAGATTCTTTTTGTAAATAAATGTGCTTTAAAATTTGGCAAAATGATAATGTTTTGCAAATGCAAATTGTTCAGCCTTATAAATACAAATATATATATATATATGTATATACACACAGGGTTAAATTATATATTTATATGGTTGAATTAGCAGTGATTATTTATTAGTAGCCTAATTTCAGTTTATGATTTTGTAATTTGTTTTTCTGCCACATTCTTAGCTTCCTGGATGACTGTCTTCTGTACTTGTCTCCATCTGTTTTAAAAAGAATTTTGTGGTAGAGTCTCTTTTTATGAGAGTAGAAAAACTATGAGACAAGGAAAATAAATTTTTATTCTAGTGCTGTTCATTCACTGTTCTATTCACTGAAGAATTTTACATTAATTTTACATTTACTATTAATGACAGCAGTGGGTGGGATTTTGAAGTGAACTGTCTTAGGATATTTTTGTAAGCCTAATTTGGAATCTTTTCATAATATGCTTGTCATTTACTGATTTTACAGGTTATTGCTTATATATGTTGGTAACAGTGGGGGAAAAAAATGTACCTTGTTTTAATCTTGTAATAATTTTTTTTCATTCAGTACTGATACAGAGTAACACTGTATAGTTTACTGTGGTGCAACATTCAGCTGATGTTCACATGAGCATAGGAAAATTTGGGCTGGAGGGGACCTTACGGCCTCCAGTCCAACCTCATGGTTGAATCAAGTTTAGCTGTGGGGTCAAAACCAGTGTTGGTCAAATCAACATTGTCTATTGCTGTTTTAATATTCAGTCAGGTATTGAAAACTTTCAAGGATGGAGACTGAATAACCTGCTTTTCTACTTGACTGTCTTCATGGTGAAAAAATGTTTCCTTGTATACAGTCTGAATTTGTATATAGTTGCTTCATTTATGACATGTCTTCAGTCTTCCCACCACCCAGAGCCTGGACCTATCTCCTTGATACATTTCCTACAGGCACTGGAGGCTTCTGTTAGGTCCCCTGAAACCATCTCTTTCCCAGGCTGAAGAAGCCCAGCTCCCTTAGCCCACCTCACGGCACAGCTGCTCTGGGCCCAGCCATCTTGGTAACCCTGTGCTGAACACACTTCAGTTTATCAGCATCTTTTTGCTGGGGCCCCAAAATGGGCTGTAGTAGTCTAGATGCAGATTAATGAGTGCTGATTACAGGGAGGTAATCCCTTCCTCAATCTGTGCTCCTTCTGACACAGCACAGGATGCTGTGTGCCCTCATTACTGCCATGGCCACTGCAGGCTCACAGTCAGCTCACTGCCCGCCAGGGCCCCCCAGGACTTTGCCTGCAGAACTGCTCCCTAGCCAGGCACTTCTGTATCACTGCAAAGGACTCTTACTTCCCAGGCTGGACACTTAGCACTTGTCCTTCCTTTCATAGTCTCCTGTCAGCCCATTCTTCCAGCCATCATCAGACCCTCTAATGACATCCATGCCCTCAAGCATATCAACTAGGACTCCCAATTTTGTGTCATCTGCAAATTTGATAAGGGTACACTCCATGACCTCCTCCAGGTCACTGGTAAAGTTGTTAAACAGGACGCATCCCCTGATAGCTCCTTTTGTTTCTCCACTTGTAACAGGCATCCAGGTAAAGTGCAACCTGTTAACCTCTACACTGTGAGCTTGATCATCAAGTAATTTTTTCACCCACCTGGTTTTTAGTCTATCCTTGCTTTGCAAGGACACTGACCAAATCTGTCAGCACCCATGTATCTAAACCACCTGACTCCACAGTGGGAAGTTATAGACATATATGAGCTGAAATATGACAAAACCGCAACTTGATCTTCAGCTACCCCGATAGTCCCTCCTACTGAACATGTTCACCTAAGCAGGAGGGCCCAGGAGACCTTGTTGAAGGCTGAGACTAAAAAGGGCATCAAGTTTCTCAGTCTCGTATGTGCCTGCTATCACAAAAAGTTTCATCCTTTGAGAAATCCTTAATTTGATTGAAAGCCATCTGTGAAATACTATGAGATAAATCACTTTGGAAGTCATCAGTAATGTAATTAAGTTTATCTTTTCACTTCCAAGAAATCTAGCTTTGAACATCAGATTTGTATAAAATTATTTAATCTGAAATTCAGTTTAGCTTAGCTTGTTTTAAAAAGCTATAGGTTTAGAGGTCATTAATATATGTTCATATTTTATGTTCATATGATCTAGACAAGGGAATTTAGTCTTTAGATCTCTTGTTGGTATAGGAACAGAGGACTCAGAATGACTGTTTCATCAAACCAAAAAATTCTTACAGCTTCTGCTTTTTTTTTTAGTTTTGCAACCCATGAGCATGTCTAGCCTGCAGGGGCAACTAAGTGGACCAAAACAACTTCTCAGAGGTGGAAAGCCCTACTCATAACTTGTTTTACACAGTAGAAGTGAAGGATATTCTCCAGAATTCCCGACTTGCAAGGGAACACAGCAGTGATCCTTGTCTGCAAGGTAAAATAGCAGTGACTTCTGAGCAAGCATATTAAAAATACAGTATTGACATGCAGAACCTCTTTTAGCTCCTGCACAATTCCTGTACCTATCTTCAGTATCCCCTTGCCAAGGGGGGAAGCATCTGAACCCAAAAAATAAGACTGTGGAGAAGATGAAAAAGGAGGTGTTTGTGAGCAGGACCCTTTGACAGCACTGGAAGAGCTAAGTGGGATGAGGAGTACGGGACTATCACATGGCTGGGCAACAAAGACAATGTGCAGAGAGATCTGTACTCTAAAAGAACATAATTTAACCTCTTCACAGGAAAAAAGGGAAAATACCAGGGCAAAAGCAGATTGTTTTTGTAGTAAGGTATTGTCACCTCATTCCCTCACAGCCGCAAATCTGATTCCAGCTTCTTCAATTCTAATCCTTTTAAAAAAAAAACAAAACTCTTCATACCTCACTGTTCCATCGGAGATTTCAGCTTAAAAGAGAAACAGTTAAGAACTCCAGTCAGATAATAATCAAAGGACTACATTAACATTAGCATCTTACTCTATTTCAGTTGAATAGTAAAAAAAGGGGCAAGTTTTAAAATATTTTTAATTATTCATAATGCTAAGCACAAAAAAGCATAGGATGTTTGTTTTCATTCTCTGATCAGCTGTCCATATATGTATGTTTCCCTTTAGAGCTGAAAGAAGTTCTGTATACTTATTGTTTCTATAGCTGTATACTTGTAGCTTTCCTGCTTTGTGCTTTTTTTTGCCTGTCACATGCTAGAAAGGGTCTTTTGCTGTTCTGCAGTTCTTAATTGCCTTGAGTTGAGACAGTTTCTGCAATTTCATCCAGATGGTGTGCTTCACTTAGACCTTTATTAGATCACCTCCCCCTTATATAAATTGTTCCACCCTCCTTATATTTTAGTTTTCCCTTTTTGCTTATAAGTAAATTCACTTAGTCTGCACCTGCTTTCTTAATTGAACAAGCAAAGTTAGTTTACAACCTTGCTTTAATTAAGCCATTCTTTCAACGTGGTTTCTTTTCAACTTGCTGATTTCAAATTCGTCTTGAATTCTTTACGGTTATGCCCACCTTTAGAATAGTTATACTAGAGAGGCTCATCCTTAATAATAGCACTGCTTACCAGGCTTGAGTTCATGTTTGAGATACTCTTTTAAATTATACTTAAGGAAACAGTCTCAGCAAACCAGGAATATCCCACAGTGAATAGAAAGACTTCCAAGACAAGTTTGGGGTTGCTCTAAAGAGCAGTCTTTTTCTTTCTTTTCTTATTTCTGCAAATGCCATAGATTCACATGACTTGATGAAGGCCAGTTCTGGCACCTTACAGAATTCAACTCTTCAGTATATGCGGCTTAAAAAGCAGCACACATGCATTCATCAACATTTTCTCTGACACAACAGCATGAGAAACTGTATACTGCAGATTTTAGTAATGTTTGTTACTCCTCTAAGATGTCCTGGTGATTTCTTGCTTTGTCCTATCAGCTGCTCTTTCTGGTGTTTCTTCTGTCAAAGCATAGCTTTTTTTTCAGTTATAATTACTGAATTTAGTTATATTCTTTGAAGATTTTCCAGCCTATGAAGACTGAAATTCATCTTTGTCCTCCAGAGTAACCAACCTCCCCTGACCCCAGCATGATGACACCCACAAATTTCATAAGTATACTCTGAGGTATTCAGCCAAGTTTGTACAGTCTGAGGAATATTATGAAGTAAAAACTCTGGAGAAAACAACAGAAATTGAAACTCCTGTAAATTACTATTATGTACTGAAAGAAAGTAAAGCATAGAAAGGACTTTTAAAAGGCAGATACAAAGTCTAATCTGTTTTCTTGTAGTATAAATCAGCTCCATTGCATTAGTCAAGCATTTACTTTATATTTCTGCTGAATGCAAGTAAAAACTGTGTCAGCCTAATTTTCTATTATCTTTTCAACATACAGAATTATCAAGGGTTTACAACCACTGAAGGCTGTGAACGTACTTATATACTACTCTTTTTGTTACCTGAGGAAGATACTGGGTCATTGCTGAGCTTCACAACCCTTCAGTCTGTCTTCTTCTGGAAAGTTGTTACTTTTGGCCATTGCATATTCTGAGCTTTGTCTTTCATATTAGAGATGAGGAAATATGTCTTGAGCCAGAAAAAGAAAGAATGAGATTAATCTTGTAGCTTACTATTTTTCTTAGTGACTGTACTCTTTTTCTTTTGGGAGGCGTGGGGTGGTGGTGGAGGCAAGAGGGCTAATTATCCCCAGGGGGATTCTCAGTACCTGTTTTCAGGACTTCTGCAGGATATCAAGATGCCTCACTGGTACCTCACTGGGTACTTGTTATTCGTATGGTAATGAGTCCTCTCAAGATCAAGGTTCTTTAGACCTTATAGATAAGAGTGTTTTCCAGCTAATCTTTCAATTTATTTTAGTAGCCATCCATAAAAGCGATTCTAAGAGCTGAGATAATTCCACATTGACCTTACTCTGAGGCTGTCTTGTCCTCCAATACAAGAGAAAGGAGACAGATCAGAAAAACAAAGAAACAAAATGACAAAACCTGATAATGCGTCACAGAAAGTGCCAACTCCACCAAAATTTTCTGAAAGCCTTCAGCAGTGTGTCATCCTTTTAAGAGTCCAAGCAGTAAGACCAAATCATGCCTTTCAGGGTCCTTGCCTAGCTGGAGATAGCACGGGCAGTAGGAAAAATGTTCCCACAGCCTAGTGCTGTGTCCTCAGTACTGTGCACCTCTGGGATCTACAGCACGAACTGGTTTGGATCACTAGGGCAGGCACTCAGACACTTAGCACGTAGTTCACTACAGATCTTCTTTATAAAATTAAGCACAGTCTGCTTCCTAAATAGAGAGCCAGT